GCTCAGAGAATTGCAGGCACTTAGTTCAGGTAATTAATCTGAGCTCGTTAGCCACATGGCGAGCAGGTTGTTCGGCTGCTTCCCTAGCTTAGGTGGCACAGCACACACCTGCCTACACACCAACGTTCCTAATGAGCTTCACTGGTTCACGTAGCTGTCCGTGCACGAATGCTCGCCGCTAGCACACAAGCAGCTAATCCCAGCGTGTGTCTGCAGGGTTCAGCGAGGGTTTGACACACACGTTTCATCGTGACTGAAGTGCTTTTGAGCACCAGAACAGTGTAAAAAGGTAAAACAGGTCAGTTTGTTAGTGTCAGCTGTTGCGTGATCACAAACACGTGTGATCAAGTTTAGCCTGGCCTGATTTCACCCCTACTGAGGGGGGTGACACTGATATGGGCTCTCCTTCACATGAACCTTGGGACTGCAACAGCAAACGATGGCATCAGGGAGGAGGGGCGGGGTGGAGTAGATGAACTGCTCCTCTTCCAAGAGCGAGGGATGATTGGGGGGGGATCTGGGCAGGTGCTGAGAGACAGATATGTGCTTTTTATTTCTCTGCTGTGCGGGAGATTGTGCCGACAGAGGGGAAGAGGAAGGGAAAAAAGGACAGGTGAAAAATGTCCCCCTGTGGGAGAGGAAACGAGGGAAGTGAAGAAGGCTAGCTTCGCTTTGAGAGATGGACTAAACCATCCCCGGAGGGGGTGCAGAAGCTCCTAGCTAAACGTTCCGACCAGGTGATGGATGAGTTTTGTGTTTACCCCCTCTGCTTTTTTCTCACTCTTCAGCAGAGCTCGGAGCGCTCTGCTTGTGTTCGTTTGTGTGTGACTGCCTGATCGTGCGCCAGACAATCCCCGCTTCGCCTCCCTGACATTCCCAGGGAGCGGAAAACACATCCCCTGTAACAATCGATAGCTCCCCGCAGCTCCCAGCCCCATCTGCAGTCCTAGGAAGGCCCACCTCCTGTGGCTGCCGCTGCTATTAATTCTGTGTCCCACCGTTTCCTGCTTAGAGCCCCCGTCCCTGAGATTAAAGAGCAGCACAGCTACTGGAGTCCTTTGCTCACAGGAGGAGGGAGATGGGGCGGGAGAAGGCAGCTCTGTGGGAAGGTTGTAGATCCCGAGGAATCTCCCCAGTGTCGGCTTACAAGTGCTACTCATTTGCACTTCAGGGGCTGTTTGACTCATCTCAGTTTCAATTATCCGCAGCAAATCAAAGCACTGGGAGGTGAAATCACATCCAAAACTAGTTTGTGATGCAGAAATGTTCTGATCAATACAAGAAAACAGTTTTTAGGTCCTGCAGGACTGACGGGCTAACAGCTAGTCCAAAGGCTGAAGCTGTTTGAGGATGGCAGCAATCCGCCCAGAGCTGGTTTCCCTCAGACGAGCCCTTTTCTTAACTCGTCTGCCAAAGGTGCGTCCTCAAACGCGCGCTCTGTGATAGACAGCTGTATGTAAGCGGTGGTCTAACGCTATTGGTTAATGCTGAACAACACTCCCCGGTCGGCTCATGGGCCCCCTAGTGAACTACGCCTTTAAACTCATCAATGATGCTTGCTGAATTTTGCAGCTTTGGAATCCTTTTGACATCTCTGGTCAGTAATATGCTTTGGACTAGTGGTTAGCTCATCAATCCCATAGAAAAGAAAAGCTCTTTCTCCTATTGGAGGCCATTCGGGGTATAACAATATTAGAGCTTTTGCACAGAAACAGAAAAATCCCCTTCAGCAACCTTTCTGTGTTAAAGTGACCTGGTCGTCTGAATTAGTTTTTCTGTATGAAGTCCGTCTTGTTTAACTGAAAAAAATCACAGTTTGATTTCAAAGAGTCAATAAAACAGTTTTTAGTTGAATGTTTTGTAAAACTTTTTTTTAAAAAGCAGCATAAGTTTGAAAAGTCGTTTCCTTAAAACCGTAAAAACAAACGTCAACGCCGTCATTTGTTTATTGAACAGAATAACACAAATCAGCTGTTCCACCTCGGGGCAGCGCGCCGTTTGGGTTTGGTGATAAGCTGACGGACACACTGTGGGTGTTGTTTAGTTCCAGGCATTTTTCCAATTTACCTGCGACCGTCATCTTCTCACGTCTCTCACAGTCGGGATCAAAGCCGAAGTCTCCGGGGCAAAAACACACGCTGCGTCTGCTCCACGTTGCACTTTTTGAACAAAAATCCGAAGCTAGCTCACGCTTCGCAGCGTAATCGCGACTGCACCCAGGCACATCTCACCTCTGCAAACAGCCAGCGACTCGCACAACATGGATCAGCCTCTAAAGCGTTCCCTTTGAAACTCCATGAGCAGAGATTTCCTTTTAGGTGATCACTGCCCTAGCAGCTGTCATCCACAAAGCATGGTCTGGTCTGAGAAACGGTAACGAAGGGCAGGAGCAGTGACGAGGTGAGATTAATAAAGGGGGGGGGGGGGGTGAGATGGTGAGCAGAGGGAGGAAGGGAGATGTGGAGCAGAAAGGACGAGCGGAGTGGAGAAGAGGGGAGGAATCTGGACATGCGAGGAGAAGTGTGAAGGACACGGCGAAGGGAAGAGGCAGGAATTTAGAGGGAATCAGGTCTCACTTTAGGAAAACAAAAGAGATTTCTGTTTAGTTTCGTGCAGTTTTGATTCCTTCTATGATCTCATTTCCCTCCTGTCTCCTGGAGTGTGAAAGTGTCATCCAACAGCCGTTGCTCCGGCGAGGTGTTTACAGCGAGGAAAGGTCGATGTGCACCCAGCTCCTGGTGCAATCTACTGTCATCTCCCGCCTCGACTACTGCAATGCCCTTCTAACTGGTCTTCCAGCCTGTACTGTGAGACCTCTTCAAATGGTCCAGAAAGCAGTGGCGCGTCTGGTCTTCAATCAGCCAAAAAGATCACACGTCACCCCTCAGTTCATTGAGCTCCACTGGCTACCGCTAGCAACACGCATCAAATTCATATTGCTAACACTAGCATACAAGTCCGAGATGGTACGGCTCCCATCTACCTGAATCCTCTTGCAAAGTCTTACATCTCGGCCCGGCCGCTCCGCTCATCACACGATCGTCGGCTAGCAATGCCTACACCACGCTCAGGACAATCCAGACTCTTCTCATGCATCGTTCCACAAATGTGGAATGACCTTCCAAGCACTACCAGAACAGGGGCTTCCTTTTCAATTTTCAAGAAACTCCTGAAGACCCTGCTCTTCAGAGAGCATCTTCTAAACTAGCACCCTCCCTGCACCCGTCCACCCTCTCTACTGTCCACTCCTTGTTCCCTCCTCTCCATGACTGATGTCAATGTTGTTGTTGTTACTGTTGTTGTTAGCCTCAAGGGCAAAATGCCGATTATCACTTGTAAGTCGCTTTGGACAAAAGCGTCTGCTAAATACATAAACACATAAACATGTGCTGACAACGGGCCTGGCTGCAGGGCTTCTCCCTCTCCTGCTTCCCACCTGACTCGGAAGCCTCACGTCGGGCTCGTTCTGTAACGGACGAGACGCGTCTGCCGTTAGGAGCGTCATCGTTCGCGACTCACCGCCCACCTTTGACTCTTCTCACGTGAAAGTGCACGGCGGCGGGTGTCGCGCTCCTTCGTCCTTTGATGCATCACAGCACCTTTCCCTCTTTCTGGAAGAACTGCGATCTCTGTAGCACGCTGCTCTCGTTCATCACTCATTACCGCTTTACTTTGGTCTTCTTTTGTTTTCAGATTCTTCAGAAAAAAAACTGAAAATGTGCCTTTAAACATTCCCGTTCCCACTAAGGAGGGCTTCAACGATAACCACGTGGCACTAGCCACGAAATAAATAAAGAATGAGAAAGACGAAACCTCAGCTAATCTCATTTTTCTGTCAGTGTTTGGTTTTCACCTGTGGATGCGGGAGGAGCAGCAGCTCTGTCCTGAGCCCCTCCCAGGAGAGGTGCTGTCAGTCACCGCTGCAGCTCCGCCCTCTGGAAGTGTGGGTGGGGTAAGAGTCTGGGACTGGCGTGACTTGCTCTTTAACTCGTTCACTGCCAGCCGTGTCCTGACCAGAAAGCCCCTGGCCGCCAGCGTTTTTGAGCGTTTTACTGTTTTGTGAAGAGCCACAGAACATTGTGCTCTATGATGATGTAAACAGAAAACTACCAAAAGAAAGAGGAGACTGACTTCTTACATCAGGAAGAATCAGCGCATTTCGAGCGTTATCCGTTCTTTCACCGTAAGTCGATGTAGAATTGCGATCGAGCTTTTCCGGTTCGCGCCCTAAACCATCTCCTAACTCTTGGATTTTCCGCTTCCTGGTCACGTGACGTGTCACATACGCAGATGAAGTTCAGCTTTAGAAACGTGATGTTTGTTCTCACGGTGCGGGGGCTCGTTCCGACACCTGCCCTGTAAAAAAGCGGTTGGATTTAAGATGACGACGTTAGTCGTTTATGGCAGGAAGTGAGCCCTGAAACGACTCGTTCTGGACAAAACTGAAACTGTCAAGAAGAAAATCGGTGATTTTGCTTCATGTGAGAGATTTAGTGCAAAGAACACGTTTTCTATGGACCTTCTGTAACTATTATGACTCATAAAAATCCTAACATTTCTCCATTATAGCAGACGGACTCGTGCAGACAAACGGCTCCTGGTGCTGTCTGGCCACGGTAATATTGAATGAATCTTTAGCATCACAAGCATCTACGCACAAACGCAGATATCCACACAGCTGCCCTCCCTTACCCCGGGGGGGGATCCTTTTAGAGCTCGTTTAAAGGAGAACGCTATTTAAACGGAGCGACAGAGCCTTTAGACCTGCACCTGCCCTCGTTAGGTTGCACCCGGTGTTCAGTCTCAATACCTTACCGCTTCATTTCATGCCTCCTGGTTCCATGCAGCGCTGCCCACTCATACGTGCCACATCGATTGTTAATCCGACACTTGATATGCACGGTGCTCACTCAATTCCTATCATGGTTTTATGTTTGCCCCCTTTCTCCGAACTGTTTATCTAAAGCTCTCTTTGTATCTCTGCCCTGTTCTCTCTCCAGGATGGATATTACTCCCACCGGCCGAAGGAGAAAAGTAGAGTTGACAGCAACAATGAGAACTCTGTCCCCAAAGACTTTGAGAATATAGACAACAGCAACTTTGGTGCACGTTCACAGCCGCACCGCCAGTCTGTAGGGGCCCCCGGCGGCAAGCAGCGGCAGCGTCTACAGGATGATGCCCGTTCCCAGCAGCAGGCCTGGCATGACAACTCCCTCCGACTGGGCCACGGCTCCAACGAAGTTCTGCCTGTAGGACACCAGTCGCTGACAGTTAGGAGCAACACCTCCTACCCTGGAGGTCAGGGCATCGTGGGAGGTCAGCAGCAGTACCGCCGTGCCTCTCAGGCCCAACCTGCCCAGTTACAGCACCGACATCAACACCCCCACAGGAATCCGGCGACTGCAGCCTCACCCGAGGTCTCATACGACCAACCGCCCAAGTGTGAGATCAACGGCAAGGAGGCCATTTCAGCCCTGTCCAGAGCAAAGAGCAAGGGGTGCCGGCAGCAGATAGCCGAGGTGTACTGCAGACATAAGGAGGGCCAATTAATGCCTGAGGCTGTCACGCGCTATTGCCCCATTGAAG